ATACAGCACATTTATAGTGTTGCAGCTCCTTCGGCATAACTCCCCATATGAATGCTCGATTCCAAAGTAAAAATATGGTTTTTTTGTATATTTTATACCAAAATTAGCTATAACTAATTACAGAAACAATGCTATCAGACAGAATGACCGAGTAAAGCATTAGCCTTAAGCTCCAGTGGGCATATGTTTGTGTGGGTTTGAACACCACTTCTGGTAGCTGCTGTTTTATTGGGCAGCACAGTTTGAGGAGGAGGTGAGCAGCCCTCAGTGGTGAAAGAACAGGTCAGGTCAGGGCAGGGTGGGCAAAATAGAGCCCATGGGGCCCCTAAAAAATTTAGAAAGATGACAGGAGTCAGGGGCAGTAGGACCTAGGGGCTCCTGCAACAGCAACAGCAGGGCCCACCCGGTCTCACCCCTCCAGCCAGAAGCCCCTGCCTAGCCCATGGGGCTGTTTGTGGCTTCACTGGCATGGAAAATTCAGGTAAGAAGGGGCAGGGGGGAGGCAGGGGAGGACCGTGGGGATCACCCCAGTCCTCAAGGCCAGGCCGGCTCCTACTGAGACTCCAGCCAGCGGGTGGGCAGGAAAGCAGTGGTGCGGGGGGGGAGTGGAAGCAAGTGGTGGGCGGGAGCAGGGCGGCCTGCACTGGTTTCCCGGGACCAGCGCCAGCAGGGCCCAGAGCAGGGTGGTAGGAGTGCAGGGTGTGGGCTGTCAGAGGTCTGTGCAGCCGGGCTGGGCTGCACCAACAGGGAGAAGGGGGAGCTGACTCGGCTCCATAGAGCCCCTGCTAGCTGGGACCTCGTGCTCCTGCCCAGCTGCTCCTGGCTCCTGCATGCCCACTCAGTGCCTCCGCCCCAGCCCCACAGTACAGGTACAGCGCACAGCTCCAACCCCGTGTGTTTGTTACGGGGGCTTGCTGTGTTTGTGGGGGCTTGCTGGGCAGCACAGGGGCAGCAGTGAAGCCTAGTCAGAGGCCTTTTTTTAATCCAAGTATATGATGTCGGCGAATATACACTAG